GAATTTACAGCTAGGAGAACAGATTGGAGATGACACGCAGGAAAAGTAACCGAACAAAATATGTATCTTCTCATAAAACATCAAATGCAAATAAATTTGCTGCGCTGTAGGTTTACAATATTTCTGGCATTTGGAAATACTTAGGATAGAAATTTAAGAATTTTACATAACTACAGAACACTGGAAATAAAAGCATATAACTAATGGTATAAATAAATATTCTTATGCGTGATATCATGTTTGTTTGTACTTATTCAATATAACCTACGTACGGACAAATGCTGAGATCAAAAATGAGGACATACCGACAGTTTTTGAAAGCTTTTTACCTACTCAAGAGGTATGAGTACCGAAGTACCGTACATAAGTAAGATCTAATACACCATACTTCTGTACGTTGTATTAGAAAGTGTACTTATGCATTATTTTGGGAGCGCTTTTTAGTTGTTGAACAAAGGGATACGGGAGTCTGGACCTAAAATAACGTGAAAAGGTACCTATACTAAAATACAAACAAGATTAGAGAATTGTGGGTATTTTCGTTTGCTAAATGATCTACAGAAGCAAAATTAAACATTTTGTACTAGAAATAAGACATTGTTATTTAGAATAGTATCATTCTGATCATGTAATCGAAAAAAAAAACTGCTTCTATATGACTGCGTAATTTATCTTTATTTTGTTGAATATCGCAGTTAATCTATAACAGTGTTTCTTTTTTTAGATATATAGGAGTAGTAAAGGACATTATATTTTCAAAGCCTTATAAAACTTATAAGTATAGTGTGCCTCATCATTCTTATTGCTAACAATATATTCTTTATGCTTGTAATATAATACATTCTTTTTGCTTGTAATATAATGCATAAAGAACATATTTGAAATCCCTTGAAGTCAGTTTCAGTTCATTTAGTTTCTGTATATGATACAAAATCATAAATTCATACTATCGTCTTAACCCAATGCATGACTTAATCACTTATATTAGCTACTTCTGATTGATTCAAATCGTAATGTAGTTTTCATTCTTTATGTCAAGTCTTTGAAATTACTTTAAGACTTCTCGCAGTGGTTCATAATCCTCTTAGAGTATAATATCACAGATCAACTATATGACATTAAAAATTCCAAAGCCACTTTGTAAATGAAAAAAGAGTTAAGGATTATTATTTTTAAACTTAAGTATGACCCAGTAAAATGATGAGGGTATTAAGAGAACAAAAGTGTGAGTTCGTCAAAATACTAATCAGATTACGTTAAATATTTTTAATTCGTTCTAGAATGCAGGATAATGGAAAAGTAAGTCAAGGAGTTCTAAATATGTCATCTCATGAAAAAAAGATAAGAATATCGTATCTAGAAACTCAGAAGACGATCAAGACATGCCATCAGTATATTTAAATAACGACATACTGAATCTTTACTGGATGTTTTTGTTTCAACTTGCAACTTAATGCATTTGTCGAGACTGACCAGTACTCATCGGTGATTTAGTGGCCTAGCCACCAAGAGCGTTACCTAAGCTGCACTATAGGAGCTGACATATTTTATTCCCTATAAAACGAGACATTTCCATCTACTTCTGATGCGTAAATATGGATTTCTCCAGAAAACTGATGGATTCCCGCACAGGAAACAATATACTACAAATATGTCTTACCCTACAACCAACCACAGGAGAGATCATTCGGCTTGTCAAAATTTCAAATGTCCTCATGCTTCCCGGACACTAGGCACTTACGAACATTCAAGCCTTCTCTGGCATTCGAACCAAGATCGACAGTTACAACAATCAACAGCGGTAATCTATCATGGCGCCATATACTGGATGGGAATCATAAACGAATCAGTTTACGAAAGGTAACTTTAAAAACCAATATTATTACGCTAAAACTGACTAGTTTAAACAAGTTATATGAACGTGAATTTAAAGAACATTTGAAGACATATATAAGTTTTAAGAAAGCTAAAAAATGGTGTACCAAAATAAATTATACAATAGTAATAGGATAACAAAAATGTCACGAATTGTTTTAAAGTTATGTTTCCTGGGACCGCAAAGAAAGTATTTTAAACGTAGGTTGTAAGATCCAGGATTTGCTGATAAAGTAATACTTCAACTCATGTACATAAAGTTGCTGATTTGAATGTTATACGGTTTTCTAATGATAATATTTATCTCCAAACGAGAAGATTTAAAAACTCATGTATGTAACTCATATAACTTTATGTATATTGACTTATCTATTAAAGTAATATGTTTATATTATTCTCAAAAGTTTTTATAACAGTTGTATTTCAAGATAAAAATTTTAAATCAAATGAACTAAGGTTTAATATTTAAGCTAAGGTTAAATATCTTTCTTCAGAAGATGAAATTTTGTCGTCATGAATCATTTTAAAGAGACGGATGCAGGAAAAAGGATTTTATATGGACATTTTAATGCAATAATAACTCATTCAAAAAGATACTTATGAGGTTAGTGAGACAAGATTATTGTATTATGTTAGCATATTTTCATCTTCATAGCAGTTGTATATTACATTCTCGTGCTGGAATTTGGAAGACATAATATAAGGCAAATCGAATTTTGGTTTATTAAAATTTTAATTTAAATTTTCGATGCAGTGGCAGCAAGAAGATTCTCAATAGTTTTGATTTGTGCGTTTTGGCCGGAAACCTAATTGTTTTGTTTGATATCGTAAATTTTAGGGCTTTGACTGCGACTTGAACTCAGGACCACCTAGTAGATGTTGCTGTTTTCGGGTACATATTCCATGAAAGAATGATTCTCAGAGCCATAAAGAAGTTGAGCCATCCATCCCTCTCCTCTGCCACAAGAGGACTCTTACCAGAGAGGTAGTCTTCCGAACGAATATACATCTTACACTAGAGGACTTCAGCTCACCAAGTATTTAGGGTGCTCCCATGCCGCTAAAACACTATACATTTACAAACCATGCTTTCTTCGGGATTTGAACCTGAGCCCTTCAGTACAGCAGTTATTAAACATTAAGGTAAATGGACAGTGTCCACGTCCTCCGTCACTTGTCACTTGTCGATACAACAGTCAGAGGCCCGTCTGGGCGGCAGGACCACCTAGTTGAAGGCAGATAAACTATTCTTCTGCTATGGGAAGACATTACTAGTTGACCCATGGTATATCGCTGGTATCCTCCATACTTTTACGTGTACCTGTAATAGAATGCAACAACCAGCTTTTGTATAAATTTTAACTTCGTCAATAACGTTGAACACTATTTGACCAAGATAACGTCACATATTCCCCATGTCTTATGCTTTTAGTTGCTGAAAAATTTCGTATATGTAACATAGAAGCGATTTCCCTTTTCTGGTCTTGTATAATCTACTCACGTTTTGTTACAATAGCTTTGAAAGCTATATTTCAGAGAAATTATTTTCTTTGACGCTAACAAGTATAAAAGAAGTTTAATTCCATAATTACACAATGACATTTAAGAATAAAAAATTTTCAACATTTTTTTTTAGTCCAGCCTAAATATGAGAACTCATCAAATCAGCATAGGTTTATTTCAGTATTTCATAATGCGATACTTACTAGCAAGTATTTTAATCCTTAGGCGAAGGACTATCAATATGAGACTTATAATGGATGAATAATTTATGAATTAAGATACTTCTTTCAATTTTATGGAAAATATGCGTTTCGAATTTCTATAATGTATATACTATTCAATATGGAATCTGTTATATATTGAATTTGAGATGAGCATGAGTTTAACCTAAACTAGTTGAACTGTCCTAAGATTAATTTAAATGTGGAATTATTTATACATGAGTTATTGTATGTCACGCTAGGAAATGCTTGAATGTTTCGCAAAAGAAGGTACAGTCACAGATGTATTATCTGATCGATAAATTGAAAACTCGCCCAAAGGCAAGACAATCGGTCAGTCTCTGGTAGTAGTCGCACTGTTTGGAGAGAACGACAATGAGATAGATGCCTTCGAGACAGAGTTTCTTTTGTCCCATTATATTACGTGTATTGCATTAGGTAGATGATGAGGAACAAATTCAAAACTTTATTATCACTACTATAATTGTAACTACTTGCATTTTAGAAATATTTTTTAGGTACTTTCTACTGACAGTTCGGTAATGCGAAGCGAAATGGAGGATACGAAATCAATTCAGTTGAAAGGAAAAAATAGTACGTTAAAGTGCAATGCTACAGTGTAATTACTTGGAATAACAGTAACTCTTTTGTTGAAAAGTGTTTTGGTACAAATGACAGATGAAAGATTTTTAATAAAACGCAAACCATCTTTGGAATATGGAAACATTAAAAAAAATAAAAATCAGTGAAAGGCGGAGCAATAAAAAATCTTTATACACACATTTAATTTAAATGTGGAATCATTAAAGTTTATAAGGTATTCCTCCCGCTTGTCTAGCGTGCCTTCGTGGTGTAGTGGTTCTGCATGCTGGGCCGGTATTCCAGAAGTCCGTGGTTCGATTCCCGGCGAAGGCAATTGCTCATTATCCATCTTGTCTGCTTCTAAAAATATCCTAATGTCTCTAGAGTGGCGCCCGAACTAAAAGTGTGTTGGGTGAGGATTCTCCACACCCAGGATTTGGCGAATGGGTCCCCTAAAAACGTCAGTCGTCCCTTAAAAAGGGGAGTATATAAGGTATTTCTTCCATTTTCCCAGCGTGCCTTCGTGGTGTAGTGGTGTTGCACGCTGGGCCGGTTGTCAGAGGTCCGTGGTTCGATTCCCGGCGAAGGTGTTGCTAATTTTCAATTCTGCTACTTCCAAAAATTTACCTAATGTCTGTCAAGTTAATGTCACCTTCCTCGATCAAATTCTGGTAATTTTCATTTAAAGCACATAAATTTAGTATTTTAATAAAAACAAACATGCAAGATAATTTAATTCGCATAAATAATGTTTTATAAAATATGAACATTGCTTTACATTATGATATATAGCATACGAAACAAAATATCATACCGTACCAAACTCTAACGTTTGCACTTGCGTTTCTTCTGATGGAGGACCAGCCCCTTTACTGTTGAAAGCTTGAACAATAACTCTGTACTTGGTATTTTTGCTTAAATCAGTAATTTCACATTCTAGAAGTCCTCCATGAGACGTTTCTAGAGTTTTGTAAGCAAATTGATCCCCTAATCTGCTTTTGTATCCAACGTAGTAACCATCAATTGGTGACAGGATATCCTCCTTCGATGGAGGCTGTCAACAATAAAAGTAATAAATTTTCTTGTAATACAAAATGTACGTGAGTGGAAATATACTTGGTTTGAGAAGCAATTTCACAGCACAAGATGGTGGAAATTATATGCTTTAAATTCCTAAAATAAATGCTTGATTTTCCGCATATGCATGCAGCAATTATTAATCAAAATCAAAATATTTTGCACATTTTGTTTTAGTTTTTGAATTACTCATTAATTAACTTGCAAACAAATATTATGAAAGATATTCAAAATAGTTAATGAAATAATATTAGCTGTAAACATGTTTTATTGGATGCAAAAAATGTCAGTTTGGGAATAATTAAATAGTAAAAAAATACATTTAAAATGGAGGAAGGAATTGAGATCAGTTATTTCTCAGTCTATGTCCATTCTCTATGAAGTTCTGTTCAGAAAATGATTATACTCATTCTAAAAATGAAACGCTAAAAATCACATACGACAAATTGGAAGGAAAATTCAAAACTTGAGATCGTGTTTCAATAAAATTTAGCGGCCGTACACTAATTGGAGACTGAAATATTAAATCTATATGCAACTGAAATTGACAGATTTCTTTACGAAAGGATTTCTCATATCAGTAGAGTCATAGAAAAAGTATTGAAATGCAGACTTTTCGGAAACATTTTGATCAATTCATTTTTTTTTTCAAAAAGAAGGTCTGAGCCAATACTATGAGGCCTTCTTATAACATTCGGTATTCTAGTAAATAATGGCAGGCTTATAGTATTGGCATATGGCCAACTTGTAATATTCCTTGTATGAATTAAAATATATGAATGGTTCAATGGATTCTCAGAGATTACGTTTAATATCAGAGTTAACTGATTTGAAATACAACCTTCTTTTGAGGAAGACGAGCAAATCAGTAATGACTGTTACTGTACGTTTGTTAGTAAACACTACTACACGCCGCGGCATTGAGAGTGCCTTTGCATGTGCTATTGGGGAATGACCAGTCCATGCTGCGAAGGTTCATCTGGTGTACCCGCGGTTGCGGCATCTCGGGGTAAGCGTTCTCTGTCTGACTCTCTCTTCGCTTGCAGCAGGGCGACGAGACAGTTGCAATTACTCCTGTCCGTCAGTCGTTCCCTCCTGCATCCACCGGTTCCATATTCGCATGCGTGCCGCTTGGTTACGTCTTGCACGATGACAGATTTCTCGGAAGTATAATCCGCAATTTTTGCAGGCAATGATTCTGCCCCTGTCGAACTCAGAAATGAGGCATACTCAAACTACACTAACAAAAAGGATCTCATGAGAGATCAATTCAACGTTGTTAAACACAAATTTCTTTCCTCTCTTTATATACGTATTGTAAGGAACAATGAAGTCGCCCAATGATGTGCACGTGCTCTAAAATCATAATCATTTGCATATACCATTTCGGTATACACACGATGCAAGTTTCATGCTGTCTGAGTGCTTCCTTCATGGTTTTGTATTTTGGATGCCCAACAGTGTTTAAATTAAATTTCTAAAAATGCTCTTAGTATATGAAACGTAAGAGTATTATAAATTAAAAAGTGTTATGCATTCATGTATCACAAAAGAAAAATGCTGAACGACATTAAATTATCTCCTCTGCCCCAAATTATATCAAGCTTAAATTATGCTTTTTTTTAAAAAAAAACAAGATAGCGATAAGTTTGGTTTCTAGCACTGAAAAATCTTTACCTGCAGTTTAAAATTTAATACCTCAATCTATGAGAACCAAATGTTCTGTATTTAAATTTTTTTAGAACAAATATAAGCGTTTAGCAACTATAATTACAGGGTCTTAAACAAGATGTATTTCTTAATTATATATATTAATTTTAAAATGACAAACTGGAGTATTTTCCTTATTTATAGCATTTTTGTGGATACATATTTGCATATGTCTGTTACTATTGGGTGCTAAATTATAGGCCGCATGAAAATGCTTATAGACTATGTCTACATGCTTTCCGAAATACAAAAAGAATGATGTATTTTGGGATGGACAAATATAGCGTAAATGCTTTACTTCTCATGATTAAAAAAATAGCGTCCATAATAATATAATATTATTGTCACTCATACCTTCCATGTGACTTGTATACTTCTAGAACTGGTTGCTTTAGCTCTTACATCTTTTGGTGGTCCGTTTGGCGCTAAAGAACAAAAACAACAGGCAGTTAAATTTCTTTACAGTTGTACAATATAAAAGGATGTAGGGATTTATATTTATTTTAATAACCAATTTTGTTTAATTTGCTATTCTTTCCTATGAGCCTTAATTTCTCTAATTGTCAGTGCCAGAATATTTAAATTTTGTGGCGCGCGTGAATGAATGAAAAAAAAAACGAGTTTCAGTAGGAAAGATGAAGAATTAGGCTACAGCCACCACCTCTGCTGTTTAAGCGTTTGCTCCCAGAGTTACTGCTGGTTCGCGCGGTAATGCATTTACTTGCTGCCACTAGTTTCGATGGAGGTTTAAGAAAACGGTATCTAGCTGAGCCCTGTAGTTTAGTTCAACACCTTATACATATCTTAAATCTTTAGTTACTTTTGTTATCTGAATTACAGTTACCCCCAAGTAGAGGCATAGTTTATATTAGCGTTGAGTTGACGCATTGTAAATTTTAAAGAGTTAAGGGTACTTTTAGCCCTTCTCCTGTGCAGTTACTAGTATTCAAGTTTTCACAAGTGAATCTGAAGAACTGTACAAGGAAATGATTCGGTAAGCTGTTTTAAAGGTTTGCATGTAAAATTACAATTTTTATATTCATTAGAATGTACTACCGTATTAATGAAATAACTGTAAGCAAGCAAGAGAAGCTAAACAGCAGGATATAAAAAAGTTTTTTAATATTCAGGAATTAAAATTCTTGTTTCTTAAGAGATATTTTCTTAAGCTTTTAACGGTTGTTGCGATTGTACCGATAAATATTTTCTTTAACAAAATAAAATGATGAGGCTTCTCCTGCAAAACGATTTTTAATTTAAAATTTAGCACTGGAGATAAATACGAAAAAATACTTTTTCCGCTATGCTGTTTACATAAAGCCAAGTGATAGAGTAATTAATTAGATATCTTGGAAATGTCTTAATAGTCAGGGGGAATTTTTCAAAAATGATCCTCAGGCTATTTTCTTCTCTCAGGAACTTTTACGTAATGATGATTTGCATTCCGTGTGGTTATCTAATTTGGAATACTTTTAAACAAACAGCGATATTTTGTTATTTTTTTTTCTTAAACTGCCAACTCATAAGTAACGATAACTCAGTATTTATACTAGAAATTGGAGAATAAACAGAAATCAGTCGACATAATGCTTAAGAAAACACAGTTAAGTTAAGGAAACACTTGCCTAAGTTTCAAAGCCAGAGCAGGTAAATGAAGAAAGTTGTGCTAAAAAGCGTATTTCATTGATTCATGTACAGAAAATTGCTTCACGTGTAAACTACCTCGTTTAAAAATGATCTTAAGTTTCATCTGTGACAAATGATAATCACAATAAGAATAATAATAATCATAAAACAAAAACAACAACAATAATATTAACAACAGTAATAATAGTAATAATAACAGCAACAGTAATAATAACAACAACTGTAAAAAATAACAATAATAATGATGATGATGACGATGTTGATGATAAGGGCTATAAAAATAAAATCAGTAATGATAATGATAATAATAATAGCAACAAATATAATAACAGCAGCAATAATAATAATAATAATAATAATAATAATAATAATAATAATGACAATAAAAATAAAATAATAATGACGATGATGATAGTAATAACATCAACAACAACAACAACAACAACAACAACAACAACAACAACAATAATAATAATAATAATAATAATAATAATAATAATAATAATAATAATAATAATAACATTTAGCTAATGCTTTATTGTTTAAGATCGTTACACAGTTTAAAAATTGCTTTATTATTATGTCTGACATTTTACGAAGTAATAAAATTCCATTATACAAAAATTAAATTTTATTGTAATATGCAGTTTATTAGTATTCTGATTGCTTTACTCTGGATTTCGGATACTGCATGCAAAATAATCTAACAACTGCAACCCGTTCCTTTCGCAAAAAGTTATAGAATAAATTATAAAGATTAAATACATAAAACAACGCACCTTCACCTTCTGTTACTATTGTGATAGGCTCACTAAAATCTCCACTTCCAATTGCATTTTCGGCTTTTACACGTACATGATATGTAGTATGGGGCAGAAGTCCTTGTATTGTGTAAACGGTATCAGTAGTATCAACATTTGTGATTTTAGCCAAAGACCACGGTTCTGAAAAATAAATAAACACATAAAAAATATAAATAATTCTATAGCATTTCTTGTTTATTTAACATAAGTACTTTTAAAAGTGAACTCATTTTAGGGGCAAATATTTTTAAATGCAAGTAAGTAGTTTTTTACAGTCTATACCGAACAAGGCGCGCAACCGGGCTACCGGTTAGTTATGCTGACTGCTGTAGCGAAAAGCCTGTTTTCGAATCACGGAGAAGCCACGGATGTTTGGACATGTATAGTGCCAGTGCGGCATGGGGGCACTCTAAATATGCCGCTGGCCGAAAGTTTTTTTTGAGAGGTTGGTGGTAGGGGAAGAGGGGTGGGAGACCCTCGGACACCTTATCAATGGGTGCTTTCCATCAAAATTGGGGCGGAACAGAGGAACGTCGTACTATTACATGTATGCTGCTCAAGGTCTGGCCGGTCTGGTGCAGTCTTGCTCTCCTTGTTACGATGTATTTCGTGGCCTTGTTCTGATGTTATTGTTAGACAAATGAAACAAGTCACAACAACACGAACACTAATAAAATTTTGACGTCGTAGTAATTTAATCCACTAAGAAATTGTCAAATCTGCACTGAAACATACGGATATATCGTTTCAGTTTTTTAGCGTTCGAATGCTCAAGGCACACCTGATATATTGTACTCTGACTTCGGATCAAATCCAACAAATGGGTTGGCAGTATGAGTGCTTTCGTGTGGAAATAAGAGAAAGTTTCGCTTCGTCCTTTACGAAGGATTTCTTCATTCAGTCATATAGCCCTTTTTTGTTTTGCCATGTTTAAATAACCTAAAACATCACTTCTAAGAAGTAAAAAAGTCTTAGCAAACATGCTGTAACTATTATCGACATATACTATTCATTTTGTAATATTTTCAAAGAATGTGCTTAAGACTGGGTTTTATAATCTGACAGTAAATTATATTTTAGCTTTGTAAATGTCATTTATAACTTAATAAATGTCAATTTGTTGATCATTTTTTTAGCTTGATAGGTAACATTAATTTTAGCTCTGTAATGTCACTGTTTTGAAGACTTTCAAACGTCCCTTTAAATTAGTCAAATGCGGATATTCATGCTTATTGAAAGTAACCTTCCAAATTATTACAAAATAATTGTCTATTTTTAGTCAAATTTGTTTAATTATTATAAGATGTCTATTCATAAATATTTATATATTAAAATTGTTAAAAAATATGCTAAATATATCAAAAAATAAATCTGTCAAAATGAATGTAACCTGACTGATACAACGCAACCCACAGTGTAATAATTTACATCAATACTTCAGGAAGTATTAAGCAATTAATTGTGATCACAGATTGCAGCAGAAGAGTGAACCTAATCCACTTATTTCAGACTTTAAGGAATATGATGAGAACTTTGTTTTTGTACAAGATATTTTTTGATACTATCACGTAATTATGAATTTGTATGCTGTGATAGTTTTGCTTCTGGAAGTTTAGATACTTAAATGTATTATAGTTTATTTCCAATAAGTATCTTTATATTAATTATTAAAAAACTATAGTTCTTACCTTTTACAGTCTTATGCTCAATTATGTATTTCGTAATTAGGCTGTTGCCGCTATAAGGTGCTGCCCATGTAATAGTCAAAGAACGACTGCCTTTATTGGTAACATCAACTGTGGGTGGCCTATCCGGCGGCTCTTTGAAAAAAATAAATTGTTAATTCACTTTAAAATGATTTTAACAGTTAAAAAGTCAGATATATCAAATATATTATTTCGAAACAAAATACTATGCATTTAAAAAAATACATGCTCAAAGTCTTTTCCTGGGAAGACACTTCTGCATTTTGATAAGATACACATTGTAGTGGAATTCATAGAAACAAATGTGCTAGCTTTACAGTGATAGAGTATTAGATTAGGTTTAATATAATACGAGTAAATTCGCATTACTAGTTTCGAAGTTCTGAATGCGGCGTTTCAAAGTTTACTGAATTTAACTTTTTTTTCTTTGCCTGAAATTTTACTTTGTAATTTTTTAAATAATTGATGTATTTTTATATTATATATTACATACAAATAAAAGAATAGGATATTTAAATATCTATTTCAGCAATTATTAGACTCAGGTAATTCAGAAATATAAGTCTACACATAATAATCTGATTGATAATAATATAGGTAATATCTAATCTATAATATATATAGATAACAGCTAACCTATCTAATAATTGCTGAAATCTATAGATAGCAACATTAGTCTCAACTATTTCCCGGAGAAAATATCCGCATTTTTAAGCAGCCTCTTGGTATAGTTCAAAATTAAAAAGAAAATTACTTCGCTTTTGTAAAATACCTTCTGGAAGAGGGCATGTGCTTTCCCTACACAGGAAAGTGCTTTTCTCAAGGCGTAAAAATTTTAGAAGTTACGTCAGTAAATAAATATTCTTATCAAAGTAAATAAATTTTACTCAAAAGTAAAGGAGAGCAAATTTCTTAATGAAACGCTTTGTAATGAGCGTAACTTTTGTATTAGTGAAGGTTTTGAAAGTGTTCGTGTTAATAAATATGTAGAGTCATTAGCAGTGTTAAAGTAAGAAATACGAAAACAGAGCAATGCCCTCTGTGGCACTCGAACTTGTTCCTCTCAAATATACGGCGAGTGAGCTACCGTTACACCACGAAAGCATGCAGAAAGGAGGGAGAAAATACCTTATATACTCCCCCTTTTAAAGTGCAACTGAGGATTAGGGAACCAAATCTCCAAATCCTGCTGATGAAGAATTATCATCCCCCACCTTTCAGCTCGGGCGCCACTGTAGAGTTATTAGGTTTTTCTATACGGGAAACGTGAAAAGTGAGCAATGCTCTCGCTGGAACTCGAAACGCGTCCTCGAATACGGGCCGAGTGTTCTACCGTTACATCACGAAGGCATGCAGAAAGGAGGGTGAAAATACCTTATAAATGTTTTAAAAAAAACAGTTTATTTTATTTTTCTAACAATCAACTTACCCTGTTTTCATTAACAGAACATGAACATCTAATAATTGTCTTTTAAACTTTCCATGAATGATTTATATTAATTGTCCTATGTGTTGATTTTTAGTTCAAACATTAATTTGAAAAACCTAGAAAACATGCATTCTGTTTTCATTTCACTGCAAGCTTTTAATATGATCTATTACATCGAAATAAGAATGAAAGAAAAAATTTAAAAACTTAATTTAAGTTTTTTGAAAATATTTTATCTTCATTCATTACATAATATAACATTTCATTAAATGTTGCTACGTTACATTTGTTCAACATGGATACGGCATGTACTATATATGAAGAAGAGTGGTATAATTTTTTATTAAAAATATTATCTAGACAACGTTACAAAAACCAGGAAGCAGTATTCAAAAATTGTAAAAATGGACGTAAATTTTAAAAGGTTGGCTGTGAAAAATGGCTGCAAAACTGAAACAAATTCTACGTGACACTTCTGAAAATATATGACATGCGAAGGAAAAAGTACCTAAATGACTTACGGATATGTCAACTGAGAAACTCGGGGGAGACATGTATAAGGCGAAAGGTAGGTATATCGAAACTGTAAGGAACTTTGAAGGCCAGAGAAATAAATAACGTCTCAAGCCATATATTAAAATAGACGTCACGTAGCTTATAAATCTCTGTCCAGTCAGACATAAAAATGATAGCAAGTGTAATATAACCAGAATTTATTTGTGCTTCGTCAAATTTCGTGTTTCATAAACTAAACAATCCCTAATAAGAAAAGAATAATAAACTTTGAAACAATTATTAGCAGCAGTATTTGAAAAGGAAGCTAATTGTTATTGGTTAAGTAATATCGAATGATATATGTGTTTTAAAATAGCTTAATAGAATGAACATGCTTCAGCAAATCAAATTCCAAAATAATAATTAAATGAGTCATCAAGCTATCTTAAAATATGCATAATCACAAGCGAGTTAAAAATAAAAGAAAAAGTGCTATAAACAGCTTTCGTATATCATAAATGAGGTATGTTGTGATAAAATATTCAATAAGAATAATTTGTAATAAAGCTTCAAGTTTTTAGAAGACTAATTTTTAAAAAATATAATAGTGCGATGTACAGTGGTACCTCGATATACATCCGCTTTGAAATACTTCTAATATCTTATATGTTCTGTTCAGATGCGAAATGTTTTTTCGGTATACGACATATGTTTGAAATAGCTTTGAGTTCGATTAGTCACTATGCTTGTTCACGCTATACTTGTTTACCTTTTTCAGGTACCACGTTTACCTATGAGCATCAATACATTTGTTGTTACTACTCAATAAACAACCCGTGTTATATCTCTTAATTTTTAAATGATTTTGAGTTTTTTTCGAGGAATTGTTTGATATGCATTAAGAAAGAGTTTTAAGAAAATTAATAAGAAGAGTAAAGCAACGAAGAAAATTGTTAGGATCACCAAGAAGGTGAAAAAATATATTGTTTATGTGCTTGAAGATGATATGGGTATCCGGAACTTGGCTACAGCATAAAGGATACCGAGTACAACAACTGCGAAAAACAAAGACGTTATTAAATAGGATAACGTTACGCAGAGTGAAATCGATTGCCAAAAAAAAAAAAAAAAAAAAAAAAAAAAAAAAACAATCCGTTATATTATAAGGTATTTCTTACCACCATGCCATCATGATGTATGGTGCGTAATATCTCAGCGCGTAATCGAGAGGTCCAGGTTTCGAATTCCAGGAAAGCGCACTGCACAAATTTCACTTCTCCAACTTCAAAATCCTAACGACACTTCAAGTTGCGCCCGAACTAAAAGGCTGTGGATAATAATGCGTCACCACCAGGATTTGGTGGTTGGGTCCTCTAATCTTAATTCGCCAATTAAAGAAGGGGTATACGGTAGTACACTCAGCGCGTATTCGAGAGGTTCAGGTTCGAGGCAAGGGCATTGCACATTTTTCACATCACGTGGTTCAAAATAACCGTAATGACTCTACAACAGCGTGTTGACAAATTGGCTTTGATATAGACAGCATAAATGCATTTATGTAGAGTAACATGTGCAGTGCTTCATTTATGTACAGTATGTACATTACATCTGTATTTAAGTGTTGATAACAGTATATTAAAAATAATATAATTTTTTTATAAGAACATATTAATTATTATGTAATTATGCTTGGTTTATTCCCTATTCGCCATGTTCATTTTGTCTATGTGCAGTCTGGTATAGGTCCAAGTTATCTGGAACTGATTAATGACGTATAGTTAGGTACACTGTAAACCAAAAAAGACAACACAGTTAACAAATTTTTCATTTCCAAGCCACTTCAAAATTCCAGCAAAATTAGTGAAAAATAACCAAAAGTTTTTAGTTTAGTTTGATATTTCCTTTGTACTGGTGAATTCTATATTTATTATATACCGTATTTGCCGGCGTAGTAGACGCACTTTTTTTCTTTGAAAATAAGTCTGAAAATAGGTCTTATACGCCGATACTGCGTCTTATACGTCAATACCTATTGCGTCGATACGTCGTTTGTCATTCGGTCAAAGATTCATGGGATGCTGTGAAAACAGAGACAGTGGTTAAATCATTTAAGAAGTGTGGCATTAGTAGTGCACTGGATGGTACATAGGACAATTTGCTCTATGAGGACTCAGATGCTGATTTAGAAGAGGTTTCAAGTGACTTTTCATTTAATTCTGGAGTTGAGTGTCTGAGTTTTGACGAAGAAGATTAGATGGTGTTCTTTCACAGATAGATTAGGTATTTGCTGCAAGTATTACTTTGTATTTGTATTTTTTATATTTAAAATACTGTAAATTCATTGTAATGATCAGTGATAAAGTTTTATCCTTCAAAAATGTGTCCAAAAAAGGGCGTATTATAGGCCGGTGCGTCTTATACACCGGAAAATACGGTAATTATTATTTTTATTATTGCTATATAGCGATCTTAATTCTCTTTGTAGTTATTTGATTATTTAATCGTTAAACTGGTACTATTAGCCATTTTAAAACAAAATATTTAATCCAGGTTTTATGTTATTTGCTTCTGATTCGGAAACTTCTCCCGATATAAGGCACGCGAGCCTTTACACATCTGCAGGATTAACCTTTTCGTTTACTCATAATAAGAGTTTGTAATTACTACAATTTTAATAAGATAATTAATATTTAAAATTAACGCCGGTTTTAAGATCAATTAGATTAAATTAAATATATGTGATTATTGAAAATTCTTATATATAAGAAATAACTTGAATGTTGATAATATGTCAGTGCATAAAGCACTGCCAGTCATAGCAAATTTAAGATTTCTATGTTATTGAGAATCATATCCTAAGTTTTTAATTACACAATAGACGCGTCCGTTTTTCATCATATCTGTGATTTTTCTACAACTAAAGTTAATGGAAGCGTAATCTCTGTTATTTGCTTGTTTCATTTATGGATAATGGAATAACACAGCTGCAAATAACCTATTTTTTCTTGAATTTCCGAAATGAATGGTATTTTTTTTTGTTGTTTTTTTGTATTCTAGACTAAACTAAATTCAATGGCGTAGCAGCCTTAGTGGGCCACGGCCTGAACTGCCACGAAATCTTCTTTCTTGACCTGGGCTTCAGACTGCATCAGCATATGTCATGGGCAAGTGGCCAGCGTGTCGCCGGCGAACTTGGTACTCATTTTATTTACCCATTCAAGGGATGAAATGCTGGGTCAACCTTGCCCAGCTCGGGAATTCAACCAAGCGAGCTTGGTACTCATTTTATCGACCTACTCAAGGGATGAAAGGCTGAGTCAACCTTGAGCAGCCCGGGGATTTCCCAAGCGAACTTGGTACTCATTTTATCGACCCATTCAAGCGATGAAAGACTGAGTCAACCTTACCCAGCCAGGTGATCCAGCCCGTACCTGTGGTACAGTTTGGCAACGCGCTACCCACTTCGGTACTGGGCGGTCTCTTCTGAGTTCTACAGTTTAAAAGTTATGTAAAATAGGTTTGGAATAAACTCAAGATCACCGTTATCGAACAAACACTTAACACTTCCAGTAACTCAAACTGCCCGAAAAAAATATTTTTATATTGTTATATTGATATATGTCTTACCTTGAACAACTATTTGATAGTTAGTATCGTCTCTATCGTATGCATTGTGAGCCACGCAAGTGAACAGGGACGAGTCTTTGCGATTTACGGAAGATATCTTAATGGTAGCCTCCATGCCTTCTGAGAAAATTCTCTCTTCAAAAACATATCTGCAATAAATTGAATAAATAAGATTTCTTCATGAATGAAATTGAACGCATTGAGAACTGTAAAAATAAAAATTTATTTATCATCAAAAAGCTTTTTATTATTTATCACCAACTTATGGTTTAAACATTAAAAATCGTCTCTGGTATTATAAAACAAAGAATCTTCGAAAGAGTGTCTGGTTCATCGAACTAAGTGATGATGGTCATCTTCTGTCATAACATTTGAAACACATAAAGTCCTGCATCTTATCATGCACATATTTTGCAATTTCGGATGTTTATTTTTTTTATTTTTTTAATTGAATTTGTTGGAAAAATTTCGATAGTTTTCCAATCCCAGAGATAGTATTTTGCCACTACAGTACCTTAAACGTTATACCTTCATGGAAAACTGGAATTCCTGTGTTAAAGTAACGTGTGTTTAAACTACGACTGTCTTCAAGTGTATTTTTTATGAGAAAGGTTACAAAATGTGGAAAAATTACAAATTTTATGTTTTATATTGCCAGTAAAAATAATGATAGCATATGGAACTATCCATACATATACATATATCTGTACCTCTCTCTCTATGTATATATAACTAAACCAGACTAAAATTAAAGTAAACGTAAATCTCATATTTTTTTGGGCAAAATAGAAAATATGTGTTGGTAAAAATATAAATTAATACGTATATATAGTATGTACAGTCTATGTGAACGGTAGAATTTAAATCTATAAAGCTTCTTGATTTACAAAGGCATTTTAATGGACCAGAACGCACACAAATGCGTACGGCACACAAATTATAAAATGCAAAATACTACTAGAAAATTGTTGACTTCTTACATCTAGATTTGAGTTTTAATTCTTGTTGCCAACTCTGAGTGGTATTCCTTTTGACTCCAAATATGATCAAAATATTTAGTACTCTGATTTATTACTCAGCCAATTACTTAACTTTTTGTCAATTCCTACATATAAATATATATTTTTTTTAAATTTATCAAACATATTATCTTTAATATGGTGTGCCTATATATATATATATACATATATATCCGATTCCGATATTTTCACCATTTTGCAATGCCGCACGGTTTGCAAACGCAAGCTCTTTTTGTTCCTTTTTAGCCCAAAGGGCTAAAATGAAATCTGAAAGCTTTCAGATTTCATTTTTGTTTTACCTATTAATTTTTAAAAATTTTTCTTTTATAATTTTGATTTTATTAGACTGCAATGATACACGCATAATTAGTTTTTAATGTCTGGCAGCTACACATAATTGAGCTTCATTTTTATATATGCTAGTGTTTATAAGACTCATTCGTGAGGTTTTCTTAAATTATTAAAAAAATAACGTTTTCAATCTTTTATATACAGTTTTGAAAGTTTTCAATCTTTACATAAATTCTGCTTTCATACCATTCTGCGTTTAATTTAGTCTTATTATGAGTTTAAATTTTAATTTATTTTGATTATAGGTTTACAGGTTGCTGTTTGTTTTAATATAACAGAGTCACAGCGCACATCAGGGTTGTTCGTATCAATACGAGATTTTAGAAAATTAAAATTTGCAATTAATTGGCAGTGGTTAATTAATAAACGAGACAAACTTAAATTCGAATAACTTTGTCGGAATATGCAGCCATGGTGCTTGTTCAATATCTGGAAGATCCCAAAGTATGAAAAAACTTGTGAAACAAGTTTCCACAGTGTGTCTGGACACATTGCATGATCAACATGGAAGCTCTGGCTTCCAAAGAAATGAATCCTGGTCTGAAAATTGTTCGAATGGAACTTTTAACCACGATAAATTATATAAAAATGAGACTCCTAACATCTGGAATCTATTCTTCAGGTCGTAAAGACATGGGTTCATTCAGAGTTTCTATTTTATTACGCAGCAAGTACTTATGACGTGGAAACTTTTTGCAATGCGTTTAAGAATTAAGAGATGAAATCGCTATTTTTCAAGATAAGAAGCCGAGAAGCGACAAGAAGCCGAGAAATTTCCAAATGTGAAAGTTGAGTGACCAGAAAAATGCTCACAGGAAAAAAGCCCACAGGAAAAATGTTCACAGAATAATGCTGATAGGTAAAAATGCTCAGAGGAAAAAAGCCCACGCATAAATATGCCCACATAGAAAAAAGCTCACATGGAAAAATGCTCACTTAGAAATATCCTCACACGAAAAAAAGCTCACATAGATATATGTTCATATGGAAAAAAGCTCACTGATAAATAAAATACGTAGAAATATCCTTACATTAATCAATCAAAAATTAATCGATTTGAACATCGTACACCTACTTGAATTTTTCAAAGAAATATTATTTAAATTACCAAAATATCTATGGTGTATATAGTATATATATATATCAAAAATTGTATAACTTATGCGCAGATTTAGTTGCTATATACGATCAATAAATGGGCCGTTTTGAATTGGGAAAAAGAGAGTAGAAAGGAAGAAATGCGAAACAGAATATACAACGAAAAATTATTACAATTTTAATTGTTAAAAAATAAAATAATAGTAAGCATAAGTTACACATTTTCTAATAGAAACATTTAGAAGAATAAGCAAATAGAAATGATTATTTTATTTAAATTACGTAAAATACCTTGTTATATATAAATCATGTATATTTCACACAAACGTATAAGGTATTTCTCCCGCCTTCTTAGCATACCTTCGTGGTATGGAGGTCTGCACGCTGGACGCGTATTCCAGAGGTGCGTGGTTCGATTCTTGACGAAGGCTTTGCTCATCTTTCACATCTCCTGCTTCCAAAATACCTAACGTCTCTACAAACTTATTGAATATTAGCTTATATATGTAAATATCTAATTTTATCATCGATTTCATCATAGTTTCTTACATGATTCGCGATTACTAAATGTAAGTTTTCATATTTTTTTTTCCTTCAGTAAGCTTTGTATTTACAACAGCTAGTAATAAACGTTGACAGGCTAAATCTTTTTTCAGTCCGTCAAACAAAAACCACATACTAGGATGACTACAATTAAATAATGAATTTAGAACCTTATGAAAGCTTTCTTAATAATTTGTTGTTTTAGGAGGATTCCACACTTCGATTGGAAACTGTGGTCTTCTAGAACCTTTTTTGACTCCAAGCTTAAATAACTACTACATCTAAAAATCGTCGTGTTTGTCATTAAAGTAATATGACACATTAATATGACATACTGACATTAAAGTAATATGACAAATTATGCCATTTCAGCTGAAATTCCCCAGATTTCATTTACAGCTTAACAATGCAAATAAACCTAGTTTTAATTTATATTACTATTAAACACAAATAAGAATGAAGTAAAAATGACATTAGTCATTTAGACTTTTTGATGGAGTCGTTTACTTCTTTGTGGCATGATATTACGAAAGAGATATAACTTTTGATTTTATGTTGCCAAAAGTCCAAAACTGAATTTCAAGGGGAAAAATACAATTCATAAACTCTTACATGCTTTCATATTATATATATAATATCAAATGTTGCATGATCTTAAATTCACTTAGTTCGAAAACAAGAGGTATATATATATATATGCTTATGAATAGATGAATCTCTTTTCGCATAGGACATTTTATCTTTCGCATAGAAAATTTTATCATTATATTTTATCTATCTGATATCTATTAATATTTTGCAAGCATTTGTTAAAATATGTGAAACGGAAGTAATTAACTTTAGGATAATGGCCCCTGAAAGAGATTTTTAGGGAGATTTGTCATTAAGAAAATGCATTATTTTAATCGAATGGACTCTCACATTTTCTAGTCCAATTCACAACCTATTAAGTATCAAATATTTATCTCCTTATTAATAAGTATCACCTATTTTTATCCTAAATATTATGAACAAATGCGGTATTGGAAAGGAAAGAACTCATTGGTAAACTCTCGTCAAAATTTCCGGCTAAATTACATTGCAGTCAGTAAAATTAAACGGATGACGTTGTAAAATGAAACACGAATTACTTTCCAATTTCAATCAAATTAATTAAACGTGAATATATTTTCAAATATTTCTTTTTATATGCTTTGGTTGAAAAGCATCTTTGAAGTATGGAATGATTCTAAACGAAAAGAAAAAAAAATGGCAGCATTTTAATTAATATTGTAAAACTAATTTTTAATTAAGTTCTTCAGCTGCTATTCAAAATTTGAAAAGCGCTCTGAATTACGTTTCCTAAAATATTTCAAAGTAAATTGATCCATTAAATTCTATACCTGACACTTTCACAGATCAGAAGTATAATTGTATAGTACAGGTATGTAAACTGTAGAACTTATGATTTATTCTAATTCAGCAAATTAAAAAATATTCTGATTTCGGAAAATATACTAGAATGTAGAAAATGTAGAAAAATACTAGAATGTATACCGCCATTCTGAGCAGAATGAAAGAATTTAGCTACGAAGAAAAATTTTAGCAATAATTTTAAATATTACATAAAGATGTAAATGCATTAGCCATAGAAAATTTATGGAGTATAACAGGCTAGTAATTGACCTATGCCGCCCAATGGGATAATGGTTTATGAATCTGACTGCCGTGTAAAAGGACTCGGGTTCGAATACTTGAGAAGGCATGGATGTTTGTAAATGTATGGTTTCATTACGTCATGGGTACACTCTAACTTTGCGGAGAGCCGAAAGTCCTCTCGAGAGGTTGGTACAGGGAAAGAAGGGTGGGAGACCTTCGGACTCGTCCCCCCGGAGATCTCTTCATCAAAATTAGGGGCAGAGGAACTAAGCAAAGCCATACTATCACCTGTATGGTGCTCAAGGCTTTTGCCAACGCAATCTTGCACTTTTTGCCACGTGAATTTTGTCGGCTTGTTCTGATGTTGTTATCAGAAAAATGAGATCAGTCAAAGCAAAAGGAATATATTTGATCTATTTCGGTATATCCATTAAAAGAATCAAAATCGTAAAAACAACCTTGCATTTAGCGTAAGTATATTGAAACACTCAATCGATTTC